TGATTCCTCCTTGCTGGCCACTCGCAGGTGCTTGCTCCGCCGCGCGCTCTCGAACCATGCGTAGTAGACGGCCCTCCATAATAAGGTCGACCTCCTCATCACGCAAGTTAGGGTGGTGCTCTCGAACAGACGCCTCCAGCTCCTGACGGGCATTCAGGCCCTCGGCGCTCGCTAACCACTCTATGCGCAGTCAAAACGAGCGTCAGCCACACCAACGTGGGAACGAAGTGATGGGAGGACTGAATCAAGCCGCTAGTTGGATCGACGCAGATAACGCAGCTCTTATACCATGTAGAATTCCACTACTATAGCAGCTTGATAGAGCTTGAAAGCACGATTCCAATGCACCAACGATTGCAGGAAACGGTCCACTATAGCCAGAGATACATACAAACATAGCAGTGATAATGACTTGGTTGATTTCTGGTTTGTGCTCTCTGGTTTTATGCTAGGACGTAATACAAAATAAAAGCACAAAAAAAAGTGTCGACCCAGGTCGCACGTTGAATTTCGTCGACGCAAAATTCGGAGCCTTGAATTACGCCGAGCGAATTCCATTGACTGGAATTCTGTAGACGAGAATTTCCGCGACAAGAATTCCGTCGACCACCGACTGTAACTCCCGTGCGAATTCTGTCGACTTCGACACTTCGCTGCCGAATTTTAAACCGAACGCGACCCGAGATCGATTTCTTCAAACTGTCCCCAATCTGTCCCCAAACTGTCCCCAATCTGTCCTGACAAGACACTTTCGGGACACTTGAATCGAAAGGTCTCCAGTTCGAAACTCCCGTGTACCATAACCAGCGCCTTAGCAGAAACTGTCATGAATCTGTCCTGAGACACTTTCAGGACAGATTTGAAGGTCACGAGTTCGAATCCCAGCGCAGACATTTTGTTGCTCATAGTAGCATTTCCTTCTAGCATTTTTGGAGCTACTGGAGGCGCTGGAGCTGGAGGTTTCGGGAGTTGCTGGAGGCGCTGGAGATAATGGTGCTGTTGGCACCGCCCAGCCGCGACTGTTTTTCGCTCCATCGTCACCGTCGTCTCTGCCGTCACCTGACTCCGTGCTTCGCCAGGTTCTTAGCCTCCTGTCTTCTATTGGCCTCCCGTTATGGCCCGACTCACAACTGCCTGCTCCTTCTCCTTTCACTGAGCTGACAGACTCGCTTACAGAGCGTCGTGAGCCTGCGTCTCGTCCTGCCTCGCCTATTCGTGAGAGTCGCACTGGTCATCGTGTTCCTCATGAGCGTCCACATCCTGTCCCTAGTACGTACGCTATGGCACTTCGTCCTTCCTCTATTCCACAGCGTGTTCCCCTGCCGTCTCCTCCTCCGTCTTCTCTGTCTGACGTTCCGGACCCTAAGTCTGACCTGGTTCGTGCTGCTCACCCTACTGTCACGCGTCTACTAGCCACTAATATCACTGACCCGTCGTTTGAGTCTGCTGCTGCGTCTGCCTTAGTCTTTGAGCTTGTTCACTTTGCTGCTGCCTGTCGTCTAGACTTCGCTGCAAGTCTTGTTGCTGAGTCTGAGTCCGTCTGTCCTGTCAGAAAGAACGAATGAATTGAACTAGCAGCAAGATGGGTACAAGTAGCAAACCCTAATTTGGGTTGTACCCCATCTGTGCTACCCCACTATAGCCTACACAGAACTAACACATATATAGTTTGACATGTCCTCCATCCGTCGCGGGTGAGTGTGCTCTTGGCACGACGTCCTTGAGGACAGGCAGGAGGACTTTGAGTGTCTTGCAGCCGCTGCGCCTCATCTCGTGGCCATGCTGCTTGCCCCCGAGGGAGACCCGGATGCTCCAGACATCCCGACCCCGCGCTCTTACGCTGAGGCGATCGCGGGTGAGTACTCCTTTCCGTGGCAGACAGCATGGACGCAGAGATGGCATCCTGGAAGTCCACAGGCACTTACGTCGACAGTGTTCCCCCTCCTGGGGCGAACGTAGTCGATGGCATGTGGATTTTCAGGGTGAAGTGGACGCCGGGTTCTCCGCCTGTCTTCAAGGCTTGTTACGTTGCTAGAGGCTTTAGTCAGCGATACGGAGTTGACTTCTTCCAGACCTTCTCCCCCACCCCGAAGATGACCACTCTTCGGGTGCTGCTGCACGTTGCCGCTCAGCGTGATTACGAGCTTCACTCTCCGGACTTCAGCATAACGTTCTTACAGGGCAGTCTGCACGAGGAGATCTGGCTGCGCCGCTCACCCGGCTTCACTGGGTCGTTCCCTCCTGGTACCCAGTGGAGCCTCCGCCGGCCGGTCTATGGTCTCCGTCAGGCGCCTCGTGAGTGGCACGACACAGTGAGGACGACACTTGCGGCTCTTGGGTTTTCACCTTCCACTGCTGATCCGTCGCTGTTTCTGCGCACCGAAACTTCGCTGCCACCGTTCTACATCCTCGTGTACGTCGACGACTTGGTCTTTGCCCACTGCTGACACCTTGGCCTGCAGATCACCCGGGACAGAGCACGGCACACCATCACACTGACGCAGTCACACATGGTGCAGCATGTCCTTCAGAGCTTCGGCTTCACTTGGTCCTCGACACAGTCCACTCCCCTGGCTACAGGTCACTCGTTCTCTGCTCCACCTTCGGACGAGTCCGTAGAGCCAAGTGGTCCGTACCCAGAGCTATTGGGCTGCCTCATGTATCTGATGACATGCACCCGTCTTGAACTTGCCTACCCTCTTGGCCTTCTGGCACGCTACGTGGCTCCTGGTAGGCACCGAAAGGTGCGCTTTGATGTTGCGAAGAGGGTGTTGCGCTACTTGTGCAGTACATCGGGCATAGGGCTCGTGCTTGGAGGGTGGAGTAGAGTTGTCCTCACTGGGCACTCAGACGCTTCTTGGGTTGACAACCTGGCTACGCAGTGGTCGTCACAGGGTTACACGTTGAGCCTTGGCTCTGGCTCTATTCCCCCCTCGCTTCAGCCCCCTCACTCCAGATCCACTGCCCAACTGCTCTGCGCTCTTGAGTGCACCACCCCGCAGCCGAGCAGCAGCACTTGCATGTTTGAGACTCGACCTCTAGCGCCGCTGTCTTGCATCTTCACCACCCCCTCTACCTCCTCCTCTCTCTCCTCTCCTCTATGAAGACTCCCACGACAAACTCCTCTTCCTCTACCTCCTCGCGCCCTCCATCGCCCCCATCGTTTGCACCATGGCAGGCACTCTAGTACTTCTTTTCTTGGGCACCCCCACCATCTTTGAACCCACCACGTACGAGGAGGCTATTGCCTGCCTCAACGCACCACTCTGGATTGAAGCCATGGTCAAGGAGAGCAACGCCTTCATCCACAACCGCTCCTTCATCGACGTCCCTCGTCCTGCCATGACCAATGTCTTCAAGGGAAAATGGCTCTTCCGTGTCATGCTTCTCCCTGGCGAAGACCTTGTCTACAAAGCTCGCTATGTGGCGAAGGGCTTCACGCAGAAGCACGACTTTAACTTCTTCAAAACATACTCACCCACTGCTACCCCACCGGTCGTTCGGGTGTTCCTCGACTTCGTCGGCAGACGCTGCATGCTGCTACACTCCATGAATGTCACTACCGCCTTCCTCCAAGGCGACCTACACAAACTCATCTTCATGGAACGCCCTAAAGGATTTCACGCTCCACATGACCCGTCCACCGTTTGGAAGCTGCTGCGGCCCGTCTACGGCCTCAAGCAGGCACCTCGGGAGTGGCATGCCAAGCTCTCTTCCACCCTTCGCGAGCTTGGTTTTCGCCCCTCCCGAGCTGCCCCCAGCCTCTTCCTTCGGACGACTCCATCCCCTTTCTACATTCTCGTCTACGTCGACGACATGCTACTAGCCGCTGACACAGATGCTGAGATGCAGGAGATCAAGGACGAACTACAACGTCGCCTCGCCTGCAAAGACCTGGGGGAGGTCCGCGACTACCTTGGCATGGAGATCACCCGCGACCTCAAGGCTAAGACTATCTCCCTCTCTCAGTCCTTCTACATTGAGAAGGTCCTTGAGAGATTTGGAAGGTCAAAAGCCAAGCCCATCGCCACCGTGCTTGCAGTTGGACACCAGCTCTCGCCCCCTGCCACCCCCACCAACTCCTCTAACCCCTATGCAGAGCTTGTCGGGGCCCTGACGCACGCCATGGCCTCAAAGGTTGAGTTGAGAGATTATTGCCCCCCCCAATAATGTTGGCCCATTTTTGGCCAACATTATTAGGACCCCCCAACAATTCTCCAACCCAACTTATTGGTGGGGGGTCAATAATGTTGGCTAGGTACCCAACCAACCCCCCTCCCCTAGCTTCAACTATGTAAACCCTCATGATTCCTAATCAAGTGAATGGTTCACTTCTAACATGAATATGAATCCTGAGGAGCCTTAAAAGATTTAACAGTGACAGCCGTGCTGCCATCATCCACTCTGCCCTGCGCCATACATGCCGGTGTGTGCATCTCTACCATTAGCCATCGATTGCGGGTAGAAATATGAATCCTGCGGAGCCTTAAAAGATTCAGCTGTGACAGCTGTGCTCCCATAATCCGCTCTGCCCTGCGCCATACATGCCGGTGTGTGCATCTCTGCCATTAACCATCGATTGCGGGTAGAAATATGAATCCTGAGGAGCCTTAAAAGATTCAGCTGTGACAGCAGTGCTGCCATCATCCGCTCTACCCTGCGCCATACATGCCGGTGTGTGCATCTCTGCCATTAATCATCAATTGCGGGTAAACATATAAATCCTGAGGAGCCTTAAAAGATTCAGCTGTGACAGTAGTGCTGCCATCATCCGCTCTACCCTACGCCATACATGCCGGTGTGTGCATCTCTGCCATTAACCATCGATTGCGGGTAGAAATATGAATTCTGAGGAGCCTTAAAAGATTCAGCTGTGATAGTTGTGCTCCCATCATCCGCTCTACCCTGCGCCATACATGCCGGTGTGTGCATCTGTGCCATTAACCATCGATTGCGGGTAGAAATATGAATTCTGAGGAGCCTTAAAAGATTCAGCTGTGATGGCCGTGCTGCCATCATCCGCTCTGCCCTGCGCCATACATGCCGGTGTGTGCATCTGGCACCCATGTCTTTGGAGACCTCTCAACAGTGATACAACCATACATACACGTGGATATGTGAATCCGCCACCTATAGTTTCTGAGAGCTCTTAAAAGTGATACAGCCATACATACATGCCGTACGTGCGACTCAATAGCGACCTTGATACAGCCGTACATGCAGATACGTGCATCTGTCATTCATCAACTTCTGGCAGGGAGTAAAATTTTGATGTGCTTTTGAAGATCAGGCTGTGACACCCATGTTGTGCATCATCCGTCCATCCCCCTTCTGCCTCCACCCTCCCTTTACTCCTCCCCATCCGTTGTTGCAGTTGTCTATCCCCATCCCCCCAGCTGCACTTCTTTGGCCTTTCTCGTGTGAACCTGCTATTAGACTTACCCCATTCCTTCACCTTGCTCCCTCTCCTTCCCACCCCTCTCCTCCATCCCCCACACTCTCCTTCCCACCCTTTCCTTCACTCCCTCCCTCTCCTTCCCACCCCCTCCTTCAATCCCCTCCCTCTCCTTCCCACCCCCCTCTTCACTCCCCTCCCTCAGTCTCCAGCCACCCGTTCGCTCCTCTCTTGTCATCCTCATCGCGGGTTCAGACGCTGCTTGGAGACAACACATGCCGCCCCCCTTGCACCCCGTAAACCTGACTGCCGCCCTGCACAAGGAGTGCACCCGTGCACATCTGCCCTGTGAGGTGCTGCGAGCACAAGAGGACAAAGACCCGTGCACTGATCAGGTCAGTGTTTTAATACAGCTCACATACCATTGCAGGCACATTTCACACCACCCAAGGCAGCCATTTCCTGTGAAGTGGTGCGATCACAAGAGCACAATGACCCTTGCACTGATCAGGTCAGCGCCTTGCATGTACCAATCCCGTGCTCCCAGGAACACACAATCACTGTTGTTGATTTCCTTGTTCTCCTTTTCTCTTTTTCTCTGCTTGTCCTGCTAGGTTCCGACATGGATGCAATCCGATATGGAATTTCTGCCTTGGATCCCTGCTCCTCCCGCCAACACCACCAAAGCCATGGGTCTGAACAAAGCCAGCGACAGAAAGCTGCAAGAGAGGCGAAGAGAGGAACTAGAAAGGCACTACACGCCAGAACTGCTACGGCATTCCGTGCTGCTCACACCAGAGTTCTCTCTGGCGCATCTTTACCCTGCCCGGACCCCGAAAGTGCCGCTTCAGTTTGCCCAGAAAAGGCTGGGGTGTTTTGGGATTGTGTACTCCCAGCTGTCCGTGGGCCAGGGTTCCAGCTTGGGGTTTCAAGGGGTGCTGAAATGGATAAGGGAGCAGCTGAAGGGATGGGAAGGGAAGGGGGGGAGCACGGTTGAGAGGAAGGGAGTGAGAGGAGAGTTTATAGAGGATGATGAGTATGCTTGTGCGGGGAGGGAAGTGGAGCATGTTGGTGTTCAATATGAGGAGGAGGATGACCTATGGGACTCAGATGAAAATCCCGAAAGTGATAAGAAAACTTAGGTATATGTGCTCTGTGTAGACACTACTAATGAAGTTATCAACACATTATCACTAGCTACAGTAATGTAATGGGTATTCATATGATTATCTGTATCATGCTACAACAAGCATTATGAGCTGATATTGACGTGGTCGAACATGCGGAGAATCACCATGAGGCCAAATTGGTCCACAACAGCAAGCCTCACTGCCCGATGCGGAAGCTGTTTGCCCTCAGGTGGTAAACATGGGCCCTCAAGTGGTGGTGGTGGGCTCTCAGGCAGGATGGCGCTCCTGTCCTTGGCGAGTGGGGTGCCAGTCAGCCTGACGACCCGGGAGAGCCTGGAATAACGTAGCAAGGGTTGTTGCATGGTAGTGGAGATGATTAGAGGGTGGGAGGGAATGGAAACAGAATTAGGAGGAATGATGTTCTGTTCTGCGTAGGAACTTGGGAGTGAAGTGCCACAAGGTATGATAATTCTGGAACGACAGGTGTGGTGGGTGGGGCAATCATAATGACCGCGTTTCAAGGCACAAACCAGACACCATGACTCTCCTGATGCACGTACCATGCAGGCGTTAGCTCTCTTGATGCGCTCACAGGAACGACCACATCAGCCTGCCGAGAAGAAGAAGAAGAAGAAGAAGAAGAAGAAGAAGAAGAAGAAGAAGAAGAAGAAGAAGAAGAAGAAGAAGAAGAAGAAGAAGAAGAAGAAGAAGAAGAAGAAGAAGAAGAAGAAGAAGAAGAAGAAGAAGAAGAAGAAGAAGAAGAAGAAGAAGAAGAAGAAGAAGAAGAAGAAGAAGAAGAAATGGAAGAAGAAGAGGAAGAAGAAGAGGAAGAAGAAGAAGAAGAAGAAGAAGAAGAAGAAGAAGAAGAAGAAGAAGAAGAAGAAGAAGAAGAAGAAGAAGAGGAAGAGGAAGAAGAAGAAGAAGAAGAAGAAGAAGAAGAAGAAGAAGAAGAAGAAGAAGAAGAAGAAGAAGAAGAAGAAGAAGAAGAAGAAGAAGAGGAAGAGGAAGAAGAAGAAGAAGAAGAAGAAGAAGAAGAAGAAGAAGAAGAAGAAGAAGAAGAAGAAGAAGAAGAAGAAGAAGAAGAAGAAGAAGAAGAAGAAGAAGAAGAAGAAGAAGAAGAAGAAGAAGAAGAAGAAGAAGAAGAAGAAGAAGAAGAAGAAGAAGAAGAAGAAGAGGAAGAGGAAGAAGAAGAAGAAGAAGAAGAAGAAGAAGAAGAAGAAGAAGAAGAAGAAGAAGAAGAAGAAGAAGAAGAAGAAGAAGAAGAAGAAGAAGAAGAAGAAGAAGAAGAAGAAGAAGAAGAAGAAGAAGAAGAAGAAGAAGAAGAAGAAGAAGAAGAAGAAGAAGAGTCGAGACAGGTGCAAGAGTTGTGTGAATGAGCCCAGTGGACAAGAATGCACGACATCATAGATGATGGAACCACGTGATGAACTTTTGAGGCGCCTAAAAAATGCACGACAACATGGATGATGGAACTACGTGATATAGTGTTTTTGGACGTCTCAAAAAACTACTTTTATCAAGATATGTGTGAGCCCAGTGGAGAGGAATGTTCGACAACATCGATGATGGAACCACGTGATAAAACTAAAGTTTTGGGACGTCTCAAAAACTACTTCTATGAAGATATGTGTGAGCCCAGTGGACAGGAATGCACAACAACATGGATGATGGAACCTGAGGCTCACCTTGTCTTGATCCTCCCCCCCGTTTGTAGCACATATGGTAATCACTCTCAAGGGCTCGTGCTGTTTTGAGTTGACCTGGAACACATAGCGTACCTTGTCTGGATCCTCCCCCCGTTTGTAGCACATGATGGCCAGAAGACTTAAGGGGTGTTGTTGCTGCTGCCGGGCCTTCCGATTGGGCTCTGTATATGACCCCGCTTGCTGCCTCTTCCCCTCATGTCCATCCATGTGCTTCCAGTGCTCCTGCTGCAGATCTTGCTGTGGCTCCTACTGCTGCTCCTGCTGCCGGTGTTGTTTTTCTGCACTTTCTTTATCTGGATGTCCTTCGCTGGGACTTTCTCCTCTAGACCTGGCACCTCCCTCCCCTCTTTCCGTTGACTGATCCCTCTCCGCCATCCCCTCCCCTTCCGCTCTCCCCCATTCCGCCATCCCTAATTCCGCTCTTCCCCCTTCCGCCTTCCCCTCCCCTTTTGCCTCCTCCCCCCCACCTTCTGCCAGGAAAACTACCTCCACCCGACGCCACCAATCAGCGGCTTCCAGCTTGGACAGTGCCATGTAAGCTTCCAGAGGTGAGGCGGGCCAATTACAGGGCTTGATGAAATGAGGAGCGAAAAGGGGAGGAGAGGAGGGACGGGTCGTGCGGAGGGGGAAAGGTATGCCACATGTAGAGGAGGAAAGAGAGGAGGGACGGGAGGAGGGAAGCGAGGAGCAGAGGGAGAGGAACCGATGCCATGGGGGGGGAGAATCCACAACCAACGGCCGTAAAGTGCTGCTGCCGTCGGTGCCGCCGGTGCTTCTGCTGCTAATTCCGCTGCTGCTGCTGCTAATTCCGCTGCTGCTGCTGCTGCTGCTGCTGTCGCCATTGCAACCGTCCCTATCAATGACTAGGAGCAATGTCTGGCATGGCTTACGAGCTTGTCCTCCTCCTCCTCTACCTCCCCCCCCTCGTCCCATACCACCTACATCACCCGTATCATTACCGCTATCACTACCACTACCACTACCATTACCACTACCCTGCGTCATTGCCGCCGCTGTTCGTTGCTGACGGCGTCAGGATCGTGACAAGTTTTGTTCTTGGAGCCTGATAATGACGTCAGATTATGTTTCTGATGTTGGAACCTATTATCTCCATCTCAAGCCATCCGTCCGTCGCGGTTTTTCCAGCCCAAAGCTGATAGAAAGGGAGCGAGTTACAAGAAGTACAAAGACGCGACAATCTAGTATTGTCGAGTAGGGTCGTATATGGCGCATAGCTGGGCCGGGTGCTAGGATGCTTGCATCGCCAAAATCCCATGTCCCAAATGCTTCCCGAAAACATCCCGCAAGTGACATTCGGGACACTTTTGGGTGGCCCCCCCGAAAGGGTCTTTCATGAATTCTGGGGTGATGTTTTAAAGAGTCCCAATTTGGTCCCGCAAGACTCCTCCGAGTCTGCCCAAAAGGCTCTTGCGGGACCGATATGGACAATTCCAAGACAGTTTCGAGACTACGCCAGGACACATTTGGGACAATGCAACAGCCAATCATATCCGAGCGCGCTTGACAATATGCGACTTGAGATTTCGGGTGCCAGACATGCAGTTCGGTTAAATAATGCCACTACTACGAATAAAATGTCGAAAACACTACACAACTACACTTGGCCAACCAGCATCATACATGTCATAGACACACACATTCAACTAGTACACTAACCGGATCACAGCCTGAAAGGCCCGGCTTATTAGTTACGCAATCACATATATTGGCCATAAAAATCTCATCTCGGTCTAATCAGCCAGGGGCACGGATCCGCCTCCTCAGTCACAGGGCTGTTTGAATAGTTTCGGGCCTAAACTCGCTCAAATCACTCTCATTAATGTACAACCCTTCTTTCCCCCACCGGTACGCCCTCATCTTGGGGTCGTACCACTGTCCCCGTGCCATATCCAGCCACATCCGAATCACCTGCCACACTCGGTCCATGGCAGTCTTCATGCAAATCTCCGTCTCCAGTGGGCTCCCGCTCAAGTGCATGGTAGAGTCCCGCAGGTTTTGTAGCCCAAAATCCACCTAATCAGACATCATAAACAGTGGCGGGTCTTAGGCCTTGCAAGACGATGGTCCAAACATAAAGCGTCAACCAATGGTGTCGTGACATACGTACCGATATCATGACCCATACGATGTGATACCGCAAGAGCATAAGACAAGTCCCGCGCTCCCACTCTGGGTATGCCGCGAGACACGCATTCATAAATATCGCATTCGTAAAGGGCCTCCGGTCCCTTTCAGTGTGACTCCAGATGGAAATCACAAATCCAGCGTGCTTTCCTGCCCATACACAAGCAACGGGCCCACAGGAGGGTTATGGTAGTGAAAGAACATATAGCCAGTCATGCGCACGGAATAGAGCCCACCTAATGACGTCACGAACCCGCCGGGTCGGCCCCATTTGTACCATGTGCAGCACTGCTTCTGCCAAGCAGCATGGGTCTCAAACCTTGTCCTCATCCCCACCCCCTCCTATAATTAAATCCCCTCCACCCTCCCCCCTGCTCCCGACTACTCACTCGGACCATATGACCGCCAGAGTGAGACCTTCTTGTCGGGGTGGATCTCCTGCTTGTACGGGCCACCGGCGTCGATCTCAAGCGCGGCGAGGATTACATGTCGCGCTTCATTCGATGATTCATTCTGGAACTGTGAGAACACCTTGCCGACCTTTCCACTGTATTTCGTCTTCCCCATAGCCACCCTGATGTCGATAGCCACCACGTCGTAGTGCCGCCGCAGGGATAGGCGTAGGGCCTCGTTCCATACGCCGTTCTTTGGGAAGTATGTGACCGCCTTTGCCCGGGTGTGGCGCACCATCAGCTCCCACGCGTGCTTTGCATACTCCTGGGTTTAGGCATCAATGGGGGGCATGCAAGAGGCATAATACATTATACAACTCCCAATTCGGATTCGGAATACACCACGCGAGGAATGGGCGGTCCGTCACTCGAAACTACTTACATGGATATGCTCATCCGATGGCATCCCTCGAGGAAGACCGGCTACCCGTGCGTCAGGGTCGTAGTCCACCACGATGTACACCGCCGTATCGTCGCCCCCTGTCATGCTTCCCGCCCGTCCGCACGAGGGCGCTCACTGCAGGTCCGCCATGAGCGCTCACCTACGGGTCGCCTGCGCATTCGTCGTGCGCCCCCCATCCATGACTTGCACCGCCCACTTCACCTTCCTGCCTGAGGGGAACCCCTGTCCTAAGAGAAGGGGTTAGCGAGTTGTTGAATAGCATCCTCTTTAGCGGTCTATCATGCAGTTCCTTCGTCAAGCCACGCGTTGCGACATTGTGATCAGCCGCTTCCGTGGGTGAAGCAGCCAGAGGGTCTCGTGTAACACAAGACAACCTCTGTGTTTTAGGCGACAACGGTATTCAAGGACGTTTTCAGGGCCTCCCCAGGGGTACTCTGAATAATACTGCAGCAAATGGTACTGCACCCATGGGCCGTACTACTCCAATTCCAGTGAGCCTGTGTGCACCAATCGCATTCCGTGTTATGGATCGTTGGGACGGTCTGGGAATGGTAAAGTCCAATTGCCTGTTTCCACCACTCCACCCAGATGATGCCTGGCAAGGGGAGCGCGTCCGTCCACCCAGACTTGGACACCAGCACGAGCCGAAGGCCATAGACAGTGAGTCCTTGAACGTGTTCCGCATTTACATGTCTAATCGCATTTTGTGAGTGTTATGGCTCTAAGCACACTCTCGCTGGATCATCCATGCAGATTCCGGCAAAATCAATGATTTTTCAACCATCAAACAGTGGCTGAGGCTGTCAGAGATGCTAATGCCCGATCGTAATGTGAAGCGTCGGCGCACGAGCCCGTGATATAGACAGCTGCATATTTCCCTGAGTCGGTGTGAAAGGGTGTGGTTCCCTTTCAAAGTTATCGATGCAGTTACAGACAATCATTATTTATGCATCATGGTTTCGTGCATTAGCAAACAAACCTTAACTTATAAAAATTTAAATCTTAGGCATATCCCCAAACCGCCAATATATTACCCGACATGTGTGACAAATGTCTAATGTACTGAAGTAGCCTACGAGGGTTACGCACTCTCCATTTCGCGCCGTGCACGAGTCATCCGGGTACCGCTACAGTTCCGTCATAGATATGTCCTTCTTGTAATCTCAGCACAGTGCTTGCGCTAACCACATATGCAAATCTGGTAATTAATTTTCTAGAATCGGCCGCTATTCTGTGCCACCGCAGGGCATCCCGATGCCGCATGCTGCCTCCCCACTATGCCTCGCGAGGAGTGCGAATGGTGCGGCTGCACCTTCAGGAACAACCAGCGTATGTGCGTGCATCAGAGATCATTTAAACTATGCATAGCAGAGCAGCTGGATAGACGGGCCAAGGGTTACGTTCATGGCGTGGTTTTGACGCGCATACGACCGTCGACGCTGCTGAAACCATCAGGGAATCTCCATCGCCCCCTTCGAATGCGCCATCACCGCCTAGTAGCGCCGCATCCGTGAGATCTGAAGCAGCCGAATTGGGGGAAGAGGACATGCCAGATGCGCCATCTGTAGCCTCGCCTGAGGAAATGGCAGATGAGGTTGACGTGCGGATAGAACTTGCCTACATCGTACGCAAGTACTTTCTCCCGAACACCGCCATAACCGAGATCATTCGAATATTTAAGACCATGAAATAGGCACCGTCGGACTTGCAGTTCTGGAACTCATTCTGTGATCTAGAGGAGTTCGAGAGGGAGTTCGCTCCAGGGGATGAGGCATGGGTGGCCGTGGATCTGGACTTATCTGGTGATTCCAGGTGCGCCTAACAGCTTATCTTTGGATATCGGGTTGCCGGTTCGGCGCATAGCTTGCGTGAAACTACATTGACACAACCCATAACATGCAGGTCATTCTCAAGATGTGGGCCCGAATGTCAGGTGTGGAGGGCTTTGCAACTCAACCCATGATCACAGAGGTCAATGAGGAGCGGAGGTACACCAGCTCGGTGGATACGAACTGGTTTCACCTTGCTACGGTATGCCCTACCTACAGCTCAATGCGCTTCATCAATAACCGTCAATTGGAGCAGGGATGGGATATGGGGCAAACGGCGTAACCTAGAATCGTTGGTTGGCAGGAGGAGCTCAAGGGTATGGGCATAGTGGCGGGAATACTGTGACAAAATCCCTAGGAAGAGATCGGCTTGAAAGCCATGGCTTAGGAGCCTTGGTTGAGTTCGAGTTAGGAGAGTCGAGAAAGTTGAAACAAAAGAGAGTGGTTTCACTATAGAGCGAGCAGTACAAATAGGCAAGATGAAAGGTGTACCACCA